CCGTGAGTTAAACCAACACACAAGTACCTATTTACGTAGGTGAACCAGCCAACGGTGGAAAGAGACTAATGGATCACATAAAAAATAATATCTGTCTAAGACGGATCGCAGCAATGTTTCAAGTTGAAAAAATAGACAGAAAAATATAGAATGAGAGGAGCTGACCATCCCGAGTAATGAAGCTAAACCTTGTGAGTTTATAAAATAAGTTACATGAATACATGAGTGGGTAATTGGAACCTCCGCCAAACAGCAGCCTTTGCAGGTTTTTCTTATTTTTATCTAACGTTGTTATACTCTCTATATTTATATTCTTCAATAAGTGGAAATTAAGCACATAGTGTTCAAGACAGTGATCATTAAAACTGAAAACAACTTTGTATTTAGTTGAATATCTGTGGGTCAGACTGTCAGAAGTACTGGAACAAGTAGAGTCTGGCTACAACATGAATATTTTTTAAATTGTTAGTTGTACGTAAATTATTAACAACGTTCATGTCACATTTTCACTACTTAACTCTCTTATCTGATAATTACTGAAGACAAATGTTTTGGCCAATATGATAAAGAAAATAAAATTTAAGTTTTGGGTAGAGATGAGGGAGAGGGAAGGAAAAGAAAGCAGAGAGAGAGAGAGGAGAGAGGAGGAAGAGAGAAGAGGGGAGAGGAGAGACATAGAGAGAGACATAGAAAAAGACAGAGAGAAGAAGAGAGGGGAAGATAGAGAAGATGAGAGAGAGAGAGAGAGAGGAGAGAGAGAAGAGAGAGAGGAGAGAGGAGAGAGAGAGAAGAGAGAGAGAGAAGAAAAATTAATATTTTTTTTAAATATTGGAAATATTATAAAAAATAATTATTGAAGTCACACACACTACGTGTGTGTGACTTCGTAGTGTAGTGGACGCAAGATCCTTACATAGCTTTAAGAAGAGGTATGACAAAGCTCATGGAGCCGGGAGAGAGTGGACCTAGTAGCGACCAGTGAAGAGGCGGGGCCAGGAACTTTGAATCGACCCCTGCAACCAGAATTAGGTGAGTACACACACACGAACACACACACACAAACACACACACACACACACACACACACACACACACACACACACACACACACACACACACACACACACACACACACACACACACACACACACACAGGCATGAAGAATTTCCTGCACGAGGTTCAGTGGGACAGAGAACTGGCAGGGAAGTCAGTAAACGAGATGATGGAGTATGTGACAACAATATGCAAGGAAGCTGAGGAGAGGTTTGTACCCAAGGGTAACAGAAATAACAAGAAAGTCAGGATGAACCCTTGGTTCACCCAAAGGTGTAGAGAGGCCAAACCCAAGTGTGCTAGAGATGGAAGAAGTATAGAAGGCAAAGGACCCAGGAGAACGAGAGCAGTCGCAGAGCCAGAAATGAATATGCACACGTAAGAAGGGAGGCCAACGACAATACAAAAACGACATAGCAGCGAAAGTCAAATCTGACCTGAAGCTGTTGTACAGCCACATCAGGAGGAAAACAACAGTCAAGGAATAGATAATCAGGCGAAGAAGGAAGGAGGAGAGATCACATGAAACGACTGCAAAGTATTTGAGGAGCTAAACATGAGATTCAAAGAAGTGTTCAGAGAGGAGACAGAAGGGACTCCAGAAAGACGGAGAGGTGGGGTACACCATTAACTGTTGGACACATTACATACAACCGAGGAAGAAGTGAAGAGGCTGCTAAGCGAGCTAGATACCTCAGAGGCGATGGGGCCGAATAACATCTCACCATGAGTACTGAGAGAGGGAGCAGAGGAGCTATGCGTACCACTAACAACAATCTTCAACACATCTATCGAAACAGGGCAACTACCTGAAGTATGAAGATAGCAAATATAGTCCCAATTTTTAAAAAAGGAGACAGACACGAAACATTTAGCTACAGTCCAGTGTCACCCACAAGTATAGCGTGTAAAGTCATGGAGAAGATTATCAGGAGAAGAGTGGTGAAGCACCTAGAAAGGAATGAGCTTATCAGCAACAGCCAGCATGGTTTCAGGGACGGGAAATCCTGTGTCACAAACCTATTGGAGTTCTATGGCATGGTGACAGCAGTAAGACAAGAGAGAGAGGGGTGGGTAGATTGCATTTTCGTGGACTGTAAGAAGGCGTTTGATACAATTCCACACAAGAGATTAGTGCAAAAGCTGGAGGACCAGGCAGGGATAACAAGGAAGGCATTGCAATGGATCAGGAAATGCCTGTCAGGAAGACAACAGCGAGTCATGGTACCTGGCGAGATGTCAGAGTGGACGCCTGTCACGAGCAGGGTTCCACAGTTCTAGGACCGGTGCTGTTTCTGGTATTTGTGAACGACATGACGGAAGGAATAGACTCAGAAGTGTCGCTGTTTGCAGATGATGTGGAGTTGATGAAAAGAATTCAATCGGGCAAGAACCAGGCAGAACTACAAAGGGATCTGGACAAGCTGCAGGCATGGTCCAGCAACTGGCTCCTGGAGTTCAACCCCACCAAGTGCAAAGTCATGAAGATTGGGGAAGGGCAAAGAAGACCGCAGAAGGAGTACAGTCTAGGGGGCCAGAGATTACAAACCTCACTCGAGGAAAAGGACCTCGGGGTAAGTATAACACCGAGCACATCTCCTGAGGCGCACACCAACCAAATATCTGCTGCAGCATATGGGCGCCTAACAAACGGACATCTCAATAGCATTCCAACATCTCAATAAGGAATCTTTCAGGACCCTGTACATTGTGTACATTAGGCATATATTGGAGTATGCAGCACCAGTTTGGAACCCACACCTAGCCAAGTACGTAAAGAAAATAAGAGTGTGCAAAGGTTTGCAACAGCTAGCCGGGCTGGGGGATTTTAAACGAGGAAAAGGAAAAAATCGACCGGGAGGAATGGAGGGAAAGGAGAGATAGGGGGGAAGAAACCAAAAAAATCGAGGGGAATCGACAAAGGGGCAGGGGCGGGAGGTTTCCGGAGGAAAAAAACCCAAGGGGACAGTTGGAAATTGGGGATCAAGAACCCAGGGATGTTAGGAAGTTTCTTCATAAAAGAGTAGTAGGAATTTAGAATATTAGGAAAAATGTGCGTGGGACAGGACCACACTTTGCTATAAGGAAGGTTGATGAAACCCATGGACAGAAAAGGGTGACCTTTGGGACCTAAGACGGGGAGGAGTGTGAAGTGAAACCCAAACAAAGTGGACTTGGGATTCCAAAAATAAAACACCAAAAACCCCAACCCCGAAAAAAAAAACACAACAAAACCCCAAAACACAAAACAAACAACAAAACCCCAACACACACAAAAAACCAAACACAAAATTATTTCAGTTCTTGTAAAGATAATTTGTAATCTAAAAATCCCCGAGGAAGGTGTAAAAGCCTGACCCCGCCTGAAAGGAAGGGGGGGGCCCGGGGTTCGAACCCCACACCCCGGGTGGGCCCAAACCAACACAACCAAACCCAAACAACCCAAATTTTTTTCCCCCCAACCCCCACAAAAGGCATATACTGTTCTGGTCCCAGAAAGGGGTATAAATGGAGGAGGTGGAGGGGAGGGGGAAGGAAGGGGGTGGGGGGTGGGGAGGAAAAGGTGGTGGGAAAATGGGGGTTGGGAGGAGGATTAATATAAATTAAGGTGGTGGGGGGTAGTAAGGATGGGGGGAATGGTGAAGGGGGGGTGGAGGGGTAGTGGAGGAAGGGTGGGGAGGTGGTGGAGGAGGGGTGGGGAGGAGGTGGGGGAGGAGGTGGTGGAGGAGGGGGGAGGGGGGGGGGGGTGGAGAGGAGGGGGGAGGGGGTGTGGAGGGGGGAGGAGGGGGAGGATTTTGGGGGGGAGGGGGGGAGGAGTGGGAGGAAGTGGGGAAGGAGGTGGGGGGAGGAGGGGAGGGGGGTGGAGGGGTGGTTTGGGGAGGGGGGTGGAGGAGGTGTGGAGGGGGGTGGTGGAGGGTAGTGGAGGGAGGAGGTGGTGGAGGAGGTGGTGGAGGAGGGGGGGTGGGGAGGAGTGGGGAGGAGGGGTGGGAGGGGGGGTGGGAGGGGGGTGGTGGAGGGGGTGGTGGAGGAGGAGGGGGAGGAGGGGGTGGAGGAGGGGGTTTGGAGGAGGTGTGGGGAAAAGGGGTGGTGGAGGGGTGGTGGGGGGGGTGTGGGGGGGGGTGGTGGAGGGGTGGGGGAGGAGGTGTGGAGGAGGGGGTGGGGAGGGGTGGGGAGGAGGTGTGGGGAGGAGGGGTGGAGGAGGTGGTGGAGGAGGTGGTGGGGGAGGTGGTGGGGGGGGTGTGGAGGAGGAGGTGGTGGAGGAGGGGTGGGAAGGGGTGGAAGGAGGGGGGAGGAGGAGGGGGGAGGGGGGTGGGGAGGAGGGGGGTTAGGGGTAGTGGAGGAGGGGTGGTGGGGGGAGGTGGGGGGAAAGGAGGTGGGGAGGTGGTGGAGGAGGAGGTGGTGGGGGAGGGGAGGAGGTGGTGGGGGGGAGGGGGGGGGAGGGGGGTGGAGGAGGAGGGGTTGGGGAGGAGGAGGTGGGGGGAGTGGTGGAGGAGGAGGTGGAGGAGTGGTGAGGAGGTGGTGGAGGAGGAGGTGGTGGAGGTGTGGTGGAGGAGGAGGTGGAGGAGGTGGTGGGGAGGGGTGGTGGAGGGGGGTGGTGGAGGAGGGGGTGGGGGAGGGGTGGAGGAGGTGGGGAGGAGGAGGGGTGGAGGAGTTGGAGGAGGGGGGGTGGAGGAGGTGGTGGAGGAGGGGTGGAGGGGTGGTGGAGGAGGTGGTGGTGGAGGAGGGGTGGAGGAGGGGGGGGAGGAGGGGGGTGGGGGGGAAGGGGTGGGGAGGTGGGTGGAGGAGGAGGTATGGGGGGGAGGGGTGGTGGGGAGGGGTGGTGGAGGAGGTGTGGAGGAGGGGTGGAGGAGGTGGTGGAGGAGGAGGTGGGGGAAAGTGGTGGAGGAGGAGGGGTGGAGGAGGTGGTGGAAGGGGGGGGAGGAGGTGGTGGAGGAGGTGGTGGGGGGGAGGGGGTGGGAGGAAAGGGAGGTTTAATGGAGGGGGGGGGTGGTGGAGGAGGGGGTGGGAAAAGGTGGGGAGGAGGAGGTGGGGAGGTGGTGGAGGAGGGGTGGTGGGGAGGTGGTGGAGGGGTGGGGGAAAGAGGAGGTGGTGGAGGAGGTGGGGTGGAAGGTGGGGGGGGGAGGGGGGGTGGAGGGGTGGTGAAGGAGGGGGTGGAGGAGGGGGTGGAGGAGGTGGTGGGGAGGGTTTGTGGGAGGAGGGGTGGGGAGGTGGTGGAGGAGGAGGTGGAGGGGGTGGTGGAGGAGGGGGGGGTTGGTGGGGGGAAGGTGGGATGGGGTGGGGGTGGGGGGGGTGGTGGAGGGGTGGGGTGGAGGAGGTGGTGGAGGAGGAGGTGGGGAGGTGGTGGAGGAGGTGGGGTTGGGGAGGAGGTGGTGGAGGAGGTGGTGGGGAGGGGTGGAGGAGGTGGGGGAAAAAGGAGGTGGTGGAGGAGGTGGGGAGGAGGTGGTGGGGGAAGAGGAGGTGGTGGAAGTGGTGGGGGAGGTGGTAAAAAGGTGGGGAGGTGGGGGAGGAGGGGGGTGGGGAGGAGGTGGTGGAGGGGGGAGGAGGAGGGGAGGAGTGGTGGAGGGGGGTGGGGAGGAGGTTTGTGGGGGAGGTGGTGGGAGGAGGTGGTGGGGAGGAGGTGGTGGGGGGGTGGTGGGGGGGAGGTGGTGGGGGGGGTTTGTGATGGAGGAGGGGTGGTGGAGGAGGTGGGGGGGGAGGAGGTGGGTGGAGAAAGAGGTGAGGGGGGGAGGAGGGGTGGTGGAGGAGGGTGGTGGAGGAGGAAAAGTGGAGGAGGTGGTGGTGGGGAGGAGGGGTGGGGGAGGGGTGGTGGGGAGGAGGGGGGGGGGGGGTGGTGGTGGAGGAGGGGGGGAGGAGGGGTGGTGGAGGGGGGGTGGTGGGGGTTTTGGGGGAGGTGGTGGAGGAGGTGGGGAGGTGGGGAGGAGGGGGTGGTGGGGGGGAGGGGGGTGGGGAGGAGGGGTGTTGAAGGGGAGGTGGAGGGGTGGTGGAGGGGAGGTGGTGGAGGGAGGTGGGGGAGGAGGGGAGGAGGTGGTGGGGAGGGGTGGGGAGGAGGTGGTGGAGGAGGGGTTGGTGGAGGAGGGGTGGGAGGAGGTGGTGGGGAGGGGGGGTGGAGGAGGTGGTGGAGGAGGTGGGGGGGAAAGGGGAGGTGGTGGGAAGTGGTGGAGGAGGTGGTGGAAAAGGGGTGGAGGAGGGTGGTGGAGGAGGAGGGGGTGGAGGAGGTGGGGGAGGAGGGGAGGGGAGGTGGAGGAGGGGTTTGGAGGAGGAGGGTGGGGAGGGTTGGGGGAGGGGGAGGGGTTTTGGGGGAGGTGGGGGGGGGAGGGGTGGGGAGGGGGGTGGGGAGGGTGGTGGAGGAGGGGTTTTGGTGGAGGAGGTGGTGGTGGAGGGGGTGGGGGAGGAGGGGGGGTGGGGAAAAGAGGTGGTGGAGGAGGAGGGGGGGGTGGAGGAGGTGGGGAGGAGGTGGGGGAGGAGGAAAGTGGGGGGTGGAGGGGGTGGTGGAGAGGTGGGTTGGTGGGGAGGTGGTGGTGGTGGAGGAGGTGGTGGAGGGGGGGTGGAGGAGGAGGTGGTGGAGGGGTGGTGGGGGAGGAGGGGTGAGGAGGAGGGGTGGTAGGGAGGAGGTGGTGGTGGAGGAGGTGGTGGTGGGGGAGTTGGTGGAGGAGGGGTGGGGGGAGGTGGGGAGGGGAGGGGGTGGGGGGAGATGGGGAGGAGAGGTGGTGGAAGGGGGGGTGGGGTGGAGGAGGGGGGAGGAGGTGGGGGGAGGTGGGGGTGGGGAGGGGAGGGGGGGGAGGGGAGGTGGTGGTGGAGGGGGGTGGAGGTGGTGGAGGGGAGGTGGTGGTGGGGAGGGGTGGAGGGGGGGGGAGGAGGGGTGGAGGAGGTGGGGAGGTGGTGGGGGGATGAGGGAGGAGGTGGTGGGGAGGGGTGGTGTGGAGGGGTGGGGAGGAGGTGGGGAGGTGGGGGGGTGAGGAGGAGGGGGTGGAGGAGGGGGGGGTGGTGGTGGGGAGGTGGGGGGGAGGAGGTGGGGAATGGGGTGGTGGAGGGGGGGGTGGGGTGGAGGAGGAGGTTGGTGGAGGAGGTGGTGGAGGAGGTGGTGGTGGAGGGGGGGTGGTGGGGAGGTGGGGAGGAGGTGGGGGGAGGTGGTGGTGGAGGAGGAGGTGATGGGGAGTGGTGAAGGAGGAGGTGGTTTTTTTGGGGAGGTGGTTGGGGAGGGGGGGGAGGAGTTGGAGGGGGTGGAGGAGGTGGTGGTGAAGGAGGTGGTGGAGGAGGGGTGGAGGGGGGAGGTGGTGGTGGAGGAGGAGGTGGTGGAGGAGGTGGTGGGGAGGGGGGGTGGAAGGGGAGGAGGAGGTGGTGGTGGGGAGTGGGGAGGAGG